TTGTTGTTTCTTTAAGAGGACTGAGGACTAGCTATGTTATAGCTACAGTATTTAAGTTGAACAACTGATTACATTTCTAAAACTCTAGCCAGAATTTAAAATACACTAGTTGAAGAATAAGGCATATTAATAGGTATTGATAAATTCTCAAAAAGCACAGTTCAGTTTTTAACAGTCTGTGGCATTTTTAAAATTCTGAATTTGTTGGTTTTCAAGTGCTAAAACACAAAATATTTATGTTTGAGACAAATAGCTTATTGGTTGGCTAACTCCCCCACCCCCCACCCCTCAAAGTACTTATTTACGGGCCACATATAGTAACAAAAACTACCAGGATGACATAGTCTTCTGCCACATAGAAAGGGTTAGACAGTCATACCCAGAATGCATTTCAAACAAATATGATTAAGAATGAAGAGTCAACTGCCCTATAATCCTGCTTCTGGTTCTAATGCAGACAGTCCCTGTATACTCTGTGCAACTCTGGGAAGGACAAAACAATATTAAAGCAAATAGTGACAACCTATTGGGTGGGTTGGTAAAATATCAGGCTCCTAGTTTATTTACAGAATTAAAGAACCACAAAGAAGAGAACTCTAACACACCCAGCTCAATCCTTAAATTTGACCTAGGCGATGACATCTCCCTCGTTTTCACTGGTAAATGCCACCTGCCATCTGAACAGAGAAAACCAAGTGAGGAGGCATGTCCAATCTTGTCATCTTGATGACTTTTGAAAACGAGAGGGTCAACCCCAATTTCCAACATAATTCTGCAAATGAGGGCAGCCAAAGCAATTTCACCCCAGCCATGTAATTATATCACCCAGTTCCCATAGGCCCTTAAGTAGATGCCTAGGAAGGTGGTGTCTGGGATCAGTGTGCCCTGCCCTGCCCACAGGCAGCCCATCTTCTGAGAGGATGCACCCTTTAGGGCAGCCAGCAACCCTATCTAACCAACGTGGGCCCCACGTACTGCTCCATATCCCAAGCCCCAAACAGACAGGGCCAACACAGACCCAGATGGTTGCTCCTGACCACTCCCTCTCCTCCTGCCAGCTCAGGAGAGAGTACCCATGAACGACTATCCCACAATCCAATGAACAGTATCGTAACAGTCAGGTGCCTATGACCTCAGTGCTACCAATGGCAGGGCCAAGTCTCACAAACTCTGGGTGTTCCTTGGGCCAGTGCCCTCCCAGGCTGGAAACTCCCCTTGAAGACTGCCATGATGGCCATCGTGCCCTCCTCTGAAGAGGAACTTCTTGTCATCCCATCACTAGAGGCAACCTCACAAGAAGTGAGCAGCACGTGCACGTAAGTTTCCTGTGTGGAGTGGCGACTAAGAAAATGCCAGAACACATGCCGTTCAACATCCAGGAGACACTCCAGGTGTGGTTGAAATTTGGCAAACAAACAAACTTGTCTTACATTCACCACAATCCTGCAAGTCACGCTGGTTTTTGTTATTTCACCTAAAGAAAGGCATCTGGTAAGTTTGACAAGCAGCATGGTGAGACACAGAGACTATCACCTCCATAGCTGCACTTAGCTACATTCACCAGGAGTCATTATTAATGTCTTTTCAAAGGATAAACCCAACCCTAATCCTGGCTGTTTAGTATGCTCCCTCCTCACTTAGTAGTGGCGGTTCCTTGCTTTGGGCAGAGTAACTCGATCTTCTTACAGATCCACCACCCTGACAAGAACCAGCAGAGTCCCTCAGGCCTGCCACAGATCCTTGTCTTAAGCATCACTTGCACCTCTAAAATCTGTTCTGTTTTGTGGGATTCCTTTTTCTTTCTTCACCTAGTTTTTTAATCTGTGGTGAACGAAACTTTTCACTTCCCAGGCCCAAAGCAGTTGCCAGGGACAATATTCCATCACAGAGCAATTTCCTCAGACCTCAAAACCTATCTGTCTGCCTGCCGTGAGGTAAGGTGCACCCTCAACCACAAAAGTCCTGGAAAATAAACATAAGCAAAGAGTCAGTGACCTCAGGACGACGAGTGTGTAGAGCTAAGGATGAGGTGAAGAAATTCCACAAGATAGTCTCAGAGTTATACTTCTGAGAAGGAATCACCTTGATGCTTATCAAGATAAAAAGCTGAACGCTTGGGATTTCTGACTCTCAGGGGCTCAAGAGAGCTGTGGGGGACAGAAGGGCTGGAGGAACTCCATCCCTGTTTACTGTCCCCTTCCTCTGGGGCCAGTGTCCTCACCTCACTGAAGCCACATGAAGAAAGGGACCAGGGTCTCTTCTCTGGAAAGACCACTTCTCCAACAAAGTCAGTAACATACACTGGTGTTCCCAGCTCTGCTTTCAGCAGCATGCCTCTGGTACAGAAAGTTTGCCTTATTTCAGCTTTCTGGTGGCTAAAAGCACAGCTACACCACATGGGGCTCTAAACAAACAGAAGACAAAATCCCAAGGTGCCTGCATCCCTTCAGTTCCCTGCCTCAAACAGTGAGAGGGACATGGCTGTGTACCCCAGTGCCTTTCCCACACCTCTTCTCAGTGAGGAACTAGGCTGTCTTCTTTCCCAGCCATTATCCAGACGTGTTCTGGGCTCTGGCAACTTGCAGTAGTCAGATTCTAGTCTCTAGTCTTCCCACAGTTCTTTCTGAGTGTTCATTACACTGGACAACATTTTTAAAGCCAACATTCCACAAGGCAAAACTTCACACATCCCCAAAAGGAGCATCTGCCGCTGGGCCAGCCTGCTGTCTTCTGCCAACTATCAATGGATATGCACAATGGTTCTACCGGCCACCTGTCAGGCCAGACTCAGACACCATCCACACCAACAGGATGGCTTCAGAGGTAGAATGAAACACTGCATCGCCACGAGGGACAGGTGGATTGTTCCTATCCTTCCACTTCAATGAATCATTTCTAAGTATATCAAACTTCAAATTCACATCAGAGGATTCAGGGTGGCACAAATGAGGTCTAACAGCACAGGCAAGTACCAAGCGATATGGAAATTAGAATGCAAGCTGGGCGTTTTCAAACAGGATGAGACACAACCAAAGTGTCTTTGCCATCCATTGGCCGCCCCAGCAGCATCCATGTGGCCGATACAAGGTCAGTTCTGCAGTCAGAAGTGGAACTGACCAACATCAACATGTTGTGTGTTGACATTGTTTGCATGCCACCTTGTGTATGAAGCAGCATCTTAGCACAGGTGTTTCACCTAGTGGGGAAGAAAATATTACTACTTACTTTAGGGTCAGCTTTATAATTTTATAGGGATGAGTCGCCACAGATGAAATAACACAAACATGACATACACTGCTAAATTAGGGATGAAAAAAGAGATAGAACCTTTCTGTCTGTTTCTTTTGTGCTGACTTCAACAGTAAACCTGCTAATACTTTGAAATGAAAACTGTAGACATGTCCAGGAGCCTCCAGGAATTTGGCTGCAAATTGAGATTTTAGCCAAGCTAAAAGCAAAGGGTACCCTGTTATACGTGTGGTCTTAGAAGCTTGTTCAGATACTGACTTTTCTTCCTGACCAGGAAATAGTAAGTGTTAAAGCACTTCATATAGAACATTCACGTTGAGTTTACAAATCTAGACTGTCATAACAGGAAGCCATCCTAGCCTCTCACCAAAAGGCTGTCCAAACATTCAGTGGACAGAGCGGGGAATATTAAAGTAGGCATTTTGGATGACGTAAAGGCAAATATTGTACAAAGCAGACACAGGAGGTGGGGCTTGGTATGTCCACTGAAGTCAACAACTGGGGAAAACTCTGACTTCAAGACAAAAGATAACCCCTAACAGGTCTAAGCTCTACTCAGATGACACTTCACAAGCAAGGAAAAACATTTACAAACTTCACAGAGAAAGATGCACCTTTTTTTTTTTTTTTCCCCATGTTACACAAAGACAGCTTCCAGTCTATCGCAGTCTCGTGTCAGAAACAAGTTCCGGGAGCAGTCCCCTTAGCTTCCCGATGTACCATTAAGGACATGGATGCCAGCTTGCTTGCTTAAGCACGGACACAGACAGACTCTGGGCTGATTTAAGCCATGAACCAGACACATGAACCACGTGAATCAGAAACAATAAACAGGTGTCACTCATCACAAGCAGGCAGCAGGCCACCTTCCCAGCAATAGGCCACACACACAGCTACCAGCCACTGTACATTATAGACTTTCCATGGGGTGCTAACACCTCCTTCTGGGCTGAGACAAGTCAATGCTTACTGAGGCCAATTCCAGAGCCACTATGTATCCGTAGGAAGCAACAGCTGTCCTCTATGTATGTCTCCTTCAAGTCCTTAAAAAAACAGGACTTGGATTCTTTCCTACAAAAGGAACTCAGCTGTCCCAAAAGAAAACTCTAATGAGATGTCAGAATCTCAGCCGAGGGCTGTCTTATCCCTCAGTTCCAAATCTTCTTAGTGTTCCATTTGATAAGTTGGTTCCTTCATAACACCGAGGTATGCTTCTTTTGCTGAGATGACCACAGTTTCAGAGACTCCACCAAGGAATAAATACTAATTAAAAATAACTGTGGGTGAGGGAAGAGGGAGGAAAGGGAAAGAAATACACAAAGGAGAGGTGTTTCTGTGGTTTTCTCCCCAGTGCCGCCTGCCTCTCTGGCACTGCCGGGACATTCCGGTTGGGGAGCCATGCCCTGTGTAGGTAGAAGAGTCTTCGTCTCAAGAAGGAACTTATTTGGCCTCTTGTTTCTCCTGCAGAAGTGGAATAATCGACTCCCACGCCATGAGGCACTGAAATGAAACACACATATGCACAGCATCACTATCAGGTTTCCGATTTTGGGGTCCATCTGTTAATTCTATGACTTCATTGCCCATCCTGCTGGATCACCTCTGTCTAAAGTGCCTAACACATTATCTGTAACTGTAATAAAAAGGGGAGGTAACAGGTGTTTGTTTCCAATGTGTCAACCCTACCTCTTAAATGTGACTTCAAGGCTTAAATGCATTCATGGTAGTCCATGAAGCTCATATCCAATGAGTGGGAAATTCCATTAGAAAGAATTCTTTCCCTTTAAAAAGGCAGAAGAGAGGGCAGGAAGCAAGCCCTGGATTAGCCTGTGTAGATTTTCAGACTGGACAGAGACGCTAAACCAGGTGTGAGTGGGGCTTGCAAAGGAATGGAAATCATAATTGCAATGGGCTAGCCACTTGACTCAGAGAGGGTAGAAAACCCACTCCTTTTCACTAACCTCAGATTTGCTTCTTTGGGTTACTTCTGGATCTTCCAAAAGAGAGAATGGGGAAAAGGGCCCAATATTTATTGAGTTTTTCTATGTCCCAAACACTGCTAGGTATTTTACATCCATTATCATTAGGTGGAATTATTTTCATTCATTACACATACCACTCATCTGTCAGTCTGTCACACTGTGGTGGCGTGCATGTTGCTTGGGATGATAGAAGCTATGCCACTGCTATTTCCCAGCAGGGTCAGGCTTGGTGGACAGACTTCAGCAGAACTTATAGACTAAGATTAGGAAGAAAGACATGGCCAAGGCCACTTTGGAAAAAAATTGGCCATCAAAAACCTTAATGATAGCAGGGAACAGTACTGGAAAATGAGCCTCTCAGGTAGGAAGGGTTTCAAAATACGACTGAAGAAGAGCTGCCTTCTCAAAGTAGAGTCAACCTTAATGACATGGATGGAGTAAAGCTTCCTGGATTTTCATTGACTGATATGGCATTACCCAAAATAAGAAGAAACTGCTGCAAACATCTGTTAATAATTGGAACACGGAATATATGAAGTATGAACCTAGGAAAATCGAAGTTGTCAAAAATGAAATGGAATGTGAGAAGATCGATATCCCAGGCATTAGTAAGCTGAAATGGACTGATACTGGACATTATGAATGGACAATCACATGGTCTACTATGCTGGGGATGACAAACTGAAAAAAAATGACATCACATTTATCGTCAAAAAGAGTATTTCAAGATCTATCCTGAAGTACAATGCTGTCAGAGATAGGATATCCATATGCCTGCAAGGAGGACCAGTTAATACTACTATTATTCAAATCTGTGTACCAACCACTCATGTCAAAGATGAAGAAACTGAAGTGTTTACCAACTACTGAAGTCTGAAACTGACGTAACATGCAATCAAGACATATTGATGATTACTGGTGATTTGAATGCAAAAGGTGGAAACAAAGAAGAAGCATTGCTAGTTGGAATATATGGCCTAGATGATAGAAATGACACCACAGATAGCATGATGAAATTCTGAATGACTAATGACTTACATGGGAGCTCGGATGGCATAGTGCCTAAGGCGTTTGACTTCTAACCAGAAGGCTGGTGGTTCAAACCCACCAGCCACTCCTTGGAAGGAAGGCTGGGCAACTACTTCCATAGTGATATTGCCTCGGAAACCCAAGGAGCGGTCGCTGTGAGTTGGATCCGACTCCACCGCAGTGAGTTTGGTTTTTTTGGTTTAATGACTTACTTATTGCAAATACCTTTCTTCAACAACATAAACAGTGACTATAAATGTGGACTCACCAAATGGAATAAATAGGAATCTAACTGACTACATCTGTGAGAACAGGTGATAGAGAAGCTCAAAATCATCAGTCAGAACAAGGCCAGGGGCTGACTAGGGAACAGACCATCAATTGCTCATAAGCAAGTTCAAGCTGGAGTTGAAGAAATCACAGCAGGCTCATGAGAGCCAGGGTATGACCTTGAGTATATCCCACCTGAACTTAGAGACCATCTGAAGAACAGATTTGATGCACTGCACACCAATGACCAAAGAGCAGAAGAGTTGTAGGATGACATGAAGGACATCACATATTAAAGCAAAAGATCATTAAAAAGAGAAGAAAGAAAAAAAAAATGGATGTTAGAAGACACTTTGTAAGTTTCTCTTGAATGGAAAGCAGCTAAAGTGAATGGAAGAAATGATGAAATAAAAGAGCTGAACAGAAGATGTCAAAGGGCAGCTCAAGAACAAACTAAAGTATTACAATGAAATGTGCAAAGACCTGCAGTTAGAAAATCAAAAGGGAAGAATACACTTAGTATTTCTCAAGCTTGAAGAAAAAAAGAAAAAATTCAAGCCTTGAGTTGCAATACTGAAGGCTTCTATGAGAAAAATATTGAACAATGTAGGAAGTATCAAAAGAAGATGAAAGGAATACATAGAGTCACTGTACCAAAAAGAATTGGTTGACATCCATTTCAAGAGGTAGCATGTGATCAAGAATCGATGATGTTGAAGGAAGAAGTCCAAGTTGTCTTGAATAATTGGCAAAAAACAAAGCTCCAGGAATTGACAGAATACCCACTAAGCTGTTTCAATAAACAGATGCAGTGCTGGAGGCACTCACTAGTTTATGCCAAGAAATTTGGAAGACTGCTACCTGAGCAACTGCATGGAAAAGATCCATATTTATGCCCAATCCAAAGAAAGGTGACCAACATTTTGCAGAAATCACTGAACAATATTATTAATATCACATGCAAATAAAATTTTGCTGAAGATAATTTAAAAACAGTTGCAGCAGTGTACTGACAGAGAACTGCCAGAAATTTAAGCCGGATTCAGAAGAGGGTATGGAACAAGGGATATCACTACTGATGATTCTTGGCTGAAAGCAAACAGCATCAGAAAGATGTTTACCTGGGTTTTACTGACTATACAAAGGCACGGGACTGTGTAGATCACAACAAATTATGGATAACACTGAGAAGAATGGGAATTCCAGAACACTTAATTGTGCTCATGAAGAAGCTGTGCACTGACGAAGAGGCAGTCAGTCATTTGACCAGAACAAGGGGATACTGCATGGTTTAAAATCAGGAAAGGTGTGTGTCAGGTGGAATATTTTCACCATACTTATTCAATCTGTACACTGAACAGTAATCTGAGAAGCTGGACTATGTGAGAAAGAATGTGGCATCAGGATTAGAGGAAGTCTCATTAACAACTTGCAACATGCAGGTGACACAACCCTGCTTGCTGAAAGTGAAGATGACTTGAAGTACTTACTTATGAAGATTAAAGACTACAGTTTGCAGTATGGATTAAACCTCAATATAAAGAAAATGAAAATCCTCACAACTGGACAAATAAGCAACATCACAATAAATGGAGAAAAGATCGCAGCTGCCAAAGATTTTATTTTACTTGTATCCACAATCAACACCCAATGGAAACAGCAGTCAAGAAATCAGATGTCGTACTGCATTGGGTCAATCTGCTGCAAAAGACCTCTTTAAAGTGCTGAAGAGCAAAGATGTTATTTTGAAGACTAAGGTGCACCTGACCCAAGCCATGGTATTTTCAGTAGCTTATATGCATGTCAGAACTGGACAATGAACAAAGAAGACTAGAAGAACTGATGCATTTGAACTGTGGTGTTAGTGAATATGGAATGGACTGCTAGAAGGATGAACAAATATGTCTTGGAGTAAGTGCGGCCGGAATGCTCCTTAGACGTGAGAATGGCCAGACTTCGTCTCTCATACTTTGGTCATGCTGTCAGAAGGGACTAATCCCTGGAGAAGGATATCATATTTATTATAAAGTAGAGAGTCAGTGAAAAAAGGGATGGCCATCAACAAAGATGGATTGATACAGTGGCTGTGAGGACGGGCTCAAGTGTGAGGACGATTGTGAGGATGGTGCGGGACAGGCAGTCTTTCCTTTTGTTGTACCTAGGGTCACTACGAGTCACAACCAACTTAGGGCACCTAACAACAACACACACACATCTAACACACACACACACTTAATAATAGATGGGGAAAGGAGATCCAGAAAGGTTAACTTGCTCAAGACACACTGTTATTAAGTGGCATAGCTCATGATTCCAAAAACTGATAGTCTTTCTATTATGCCTATCTGCCTTCATTTTAGATCCTGTGGAAGACTGAGAATTCAGAAGACACTGGCTTTCTCCTCCAAGAATCCCCTGCTTGGGAGAGATACTGCCCCCTCCCCTTTGCACACTCTCTTGCATAAAGGGAGGAACAGGAAAACGGCACAAGGCTTTTCTTAGAAGCAAGTTCGGAGTGAGGGAGGACTTTGTGTTGAGTCATTTGAGGAGGAGATCTGAGGAAAAAGTGAGGCAGCCTGAGCTCAAGCTGGAAAGTGGTGAAATCACTCCCTGCATCCTTCCCTGCTGACCGAGGCTGGAGAAGCATCGAGATGTGGAATCCCGCTCTACCTAAGCAAGCCCAGAAGCCTCAAGGAGCTTGGTCTCAGCGAGGGAGCCAGCAGGAGGTCTGTGGCATTCCAAGTCCCACTCTGTCCCTAGGCTGTCATCCAGACCCCAAAAAGTCCTTCTACATCAGTGATGAGGAAGTGAAAGAAAAGCCACGCAGGTCTTCTTTTCAGGCCTCAAATGCACGAGGCTCTTTGCTACCTCAGGCCCCTCATATACGTTGTTCCCTTTGTCTAGAATACTTTTTCATCAAGTCTTTGTCTCTCATAACTCAGACTAAATATTATTTCCTTAAATCAGTTTTTCCTGCCCATTCCATCTGCTCCTTTCCATCCCTAATCTGAAATTTGCCCCCATTATTCCCTTCCAAGGAGGCCTTGGGTGGCACAAATGGTAAGCACTTGACTTGCCAAAAGGTCGGTGGTTTGCACTCACCTGGAGGCGCCTCAGAAAACAGACCTAGTGTTCTGCTTCTGAAAAGACCTCAGCCTTGAAAACCTTGTGGGGCACTATTCCACACACACACGGGGTTGCCATGACGTGGCATCAACT